GATCAGCTGGAGAACGGTCGCGGGCATCGCGGATAATCGGCACTTCGGGTAACGGCAAAACGTTAGGTGGCAAACCCGGAAATTCAGCATTCTGCTGCACCTGAACTGGCAGAATTGCAGCCGGAGGAATAACAACGTTCAAGGCTGGCGGGCCATGTAAATTGACAGCAGGGTCGACACCATGGGGCTGACCTGCAACCACAGCTCCATTGCCTTGGATCGGATCCTGCGCATGCGGCGCTTGGTTTCCCGGGGGATCAACCTCCATGTCTGGGGCGGCAGCTGCCAGTGGAGCAACTGGGTGAGGATCTCCATCAGGTACTTCAATAATTTCCGGTGCGCCCAGAGGTCGGCCATTACGACGCCAGTGATCGTTTCCGCGACGGAGATTATTGTCTCCAAAATTCCGATGATTTCCTCGGCCGTACGGACGAAAATTGCCACGGAAAGAGCCACGGCCTCCACCCCTTCCTCGGTAATTATAACCGGCATTATTCTGCTGCTGGTTGGAAGAAGAATGAAAGATGGCGTCTACCAACTTATCAAAAGCACGGTTAGGATCAATAGGCGGCATGCCCAAACTAGGGAAAACTAATGACCTTTAACGGGAAGGTGAAAGAGGAAAGCGTGAAAATCACTGCCTACACACACTGAAAATCCAACACGCCAAAAAGCCGAAACGAAAATTCCACGATACTGATTTCTGCACTCTACACGCAGGTAATTTTATACCGTCTGCCAGCGTGAAAATTTAAAATGCGGCAGATTCCACAGGTAAAAGAGGCGACCAATCAGCGCTTCGCGCTATATCCTTTTAATTCAACTTAATCAGGAGATCAGATCAAATCTAGGCACAACGGAAGATTCGGCACTGTGTTTACACACCGACACAGTACATAGAGCGACCAGTTCATTGACTCAGCATGTATAAAATGGAGAAATAAAAATTGAAGAAGATGAGCAGAAAATTCCTCCCCTGCTCCATAATACAGATACGATTGAAAGTGTAACGACAAGGGAGCAATCAGAATACCAAGCAATGAGACAAATCATACGAACAGTAGCGAAAATAGTATGGTAGATTTAGAGCCACCCACAAAAGAACTACAATTCAGCTGAATACGGCTGCTGCTGACCATAAATTGCCGGCTCCGCAAATTCAGGCGAATCCTCATGAGCAACAGCTGGAACAGGCGGAACAGCAGGTACAACTGGCTGCAGAGACGGCAACGGATCTACATCCATCCCTTCCCAGTCCGAGTCATTTTTATCATCAATTTCCATGTCATCTTCCGCTTCATCGTCAGCGTTTTCGTCGGCGGACACAGCCGCAGCAGGATCATCACTGTCATCGTCGTCCGATGAAGAAGTGTCGGTCTCAGACGAGGACGATGAAGATACCTCTTCGTACTTGCGCTTTTGACCACGAGAGCGAAGGTAATACGGTCCAGCTGAAGTAGATGGTTCAGATTCGGCATCTTTCACACCTGCTGACACAACAGCCGCTTGGCGTGAGACCGCATCCGCTCGCTGACGGTTGCCAATTTCTTTAAACAAACCAATAAAAACAGGATTTAAATACAAATATTGCCGTCGAAGTTCAAGTGCAATCGGCGTAGGCAATCGAGAAGTGAGGGAACAAAGATCAAAACGATGAATTAACGTTCCATTCGGGTATAAAAAGTGGGATAGGTACAATTCCGAATAGCGGGGATGGAAACGATTAAGGCCGGAAAAATAGGCCTGAGAAATAACAACATCCTGCTCACCGTTCTTGTTGGCCATTACCATTCGTGGAAACACTGCTGAGGACGAGCGCTTGCGGGCCGTTTGTTTGGTCTTATACACCGGACGCGGTGCCTTTGGATTGTACGGCACATATAAAATCCCACCACGTTTCAGATGTTCATCGTCTACATACAGTGAAAGTACAACAATATATGACTGAACAAAAGCAGAATGAGGGTAAGCAATTGCATAAGGGAACCAAACGAATAGAAGACAAGCTCCGGGAAAGCTACAACATTACGGTAAGGCAACATAACAATACCTCGCTGTGCTCGTACTGACGGAGTTTCAGACGATTGTGGCTCTTCGTCCGTAAGATCTGGAATGCCCAGTTGTCGTGAGGGGCTACTCTGCTGTTTCGCAGGTTTTTTCGGAGAAGGCTGGCGAATCTCCACGTCAGGATTAGCAGGAAACTTGCCACGGCGGTTTCCACGGCTTACCACAGTTGCATCACGGCGGGCGATGGCACGACGCTCACTTTCGCGATAACGACGCCGCAGCGCTGCTGAAACTTCTGCTCCACGGCCAGTAGAAGGCTTAGGACTCTTTGGCGCGGCAACACGCCCAGATGGTCCTGCTTGTTGAGCAGAAAACGCTGGCTGCGAGGAAGTACGGCGAGAAACTCGTGCTCGAGTCACTCTGCTGGATGTCTGCGCCTCATCACTTTCGGGTGAATATCCAAACGGCAACCCTGCCAACTCTCTGCGTTGTCGAACAACAGGAACAACAGTCTTACGCGCAGTGGGTTTTCGCGGAGTTGCAGACATCTTTAAACTGATAAATATGACTACAATAGAAAATGTCCAACAAGGGGAGAAATGAATCAAGTATACGTAAGACCAAAAAACCACAACAAAATAAATAGTTAACTACAGTGCGGTTAATACGGCACCGACACCGGGAATTAAAGATACAGGTGATCCGTCAGACAGCGGTTGACAGGCGACAAGCCGAATTTCACCAAGTTTCTAACACTTAATTCGTCTACGCTGGACAAAAGTCTCCATTGATTTATCGACAAAGGGTTTGTAAAATGAAAGTATAAAAACTAGAATTTTTCCCCAATATACATCTGCAGCGCGTAACAAATAGTTAAAAACACAAACGTAAGGAGAAAACACGCGGCTGGGAAATATTCGGAACATAGACCGGAAACTGCATAGTTTCCGCTCCAACTGACACCTCGGAGTGGCTGACAAGCGACGGAATGCCGCATCGTGAGCACAGGAAATATCAGCTGTTCACTCATAACACTAAAAACGAAGAACCCCACAATATCTTATTCTTCTGTGGTGACGGTTTCCTTTGTTTTATTTCTGTTCTTTCTTTATTTTATTTCGTATTTTAACCAACTTATCTTATAATGTCTGGGCAGCCCGGAGAACCATCAGCAGAGACAGATGCGATCGAGCATGCTCGGTATTGGAAAGAGCGCACACGGGAATCTGTGCAGTTAGCCATGGATGCACCTTTGACGGAGAACGAAACCGCTAAAAGCCGACGACAGCTGGCGATGCATACGGCCGCACATGCCTGCATTCTCGAGGCGGATATCACTGGCTTTTACGTGGATATTGCGGCTATTAAGGAGTTCGTACATGATATGCACACGGACTTCACTGCGGATCGCGTTGAAGTATTTTTGGAGGACGCCATTAACGCTGGAATTTTACTGAAGAAGATGGCGCGCGACGGACGCTTCGTGCTAGAAGTCGCTGAAGAAGTGTATCGAAGCCGTAAGGTGAAACTGGTGGATACTTACAGCAAACTTCGCTGCATGATCCGAGCCATCCTCTATCACGGACGATACGCCATGAGCCGGCCGGAAATTCAGCAATGGGCTACCGGGACAAACGATCTACAGCTTGAAAACTACGAGTACTGGTTCAACCGCGGCCTACATCGGCTCTTGGAAAAGAAACAGATTGTGATGGTCTATGGAAATCTGTATGTCCACAGCTGCATTGACTTGTGGCTGCGCAGTATTCGCGGTTGTTGTCTGTGCGACACTCTGGCTCAAACAATCAGTAAGTTTGCAAAATTACGAATATCGATACCAAGGCATTGTGCCTACACTTGCTTACAAGTTTGCAGTAGTGTTAGTCATTTGTACCGCCGCAACTGCACCTGCTCTTTTCTTCGATATAATGATTCGTATAATTTACAGATGTGAAAACGGCAACACTAAAGATCGAAAAGAATGGAAAAGAAATGGAACAGCATGTGACCGACGCCAGCTTCGGCTATGTTGGCGAGGACGTCGAATTAATCGTGGATGGAGTCATGGAGCGTTTGGAGGCCATCGAGCCAGCGAAGAACAACACTATCGGAACCAACATGCTTGTTCGTTCCAGTAAGGATGCTCGGATCAAGCAGGAGCCAATTATCACGTTGAGTCAATTGAAAGAAATGAATGCTCGTCCGCGATATGTGACATGCAAAAAGAACGAACAACGTGACAAAACCCAGAAAAATAACCGTGACGCAGCAAAAGCTAAAAAAGCGAACGCCAAGGCTGAAAAACCGGGCGACGACAAAACGGTTAACAACATTAAAGACATCGATGAACTGCTGAAGATGGTGGAGAGCGAACAGGTCATCATGAAGAACTGTAAGGCACTGGTGAACACCTTAAAGGCGCGTGTGTACACCGATACCAATCACGTGAAGTATGTACGGGAGGCTTTGGAACAACGCATGGCCAACATCAACAATGCCAAGGAAAGCGTGGATTTAGATTAGATTCTGGCGTTTTATACATCTCTGGCGGCTGTCTAAATAATTTGTTGATAATTCAGCCGGTTCTCCTATATCCTGGTTGTATTTTACTTTTGGATCTGAGTTTAATTTTATTGACTTCGGGATTAATGCTCGTGTAATTCCTAATCTCCTTGTCCGTACAGATCTCGTCATTTGAGTTTTAACACAGATTTTGATAAAAAAGGAATAACTGCTGCGCATGATGATATTATGGAACTCAACCGCAGGCATTGTGGACGATCAGACCATAGTACACCGATAGGAAAAGCTGTAAATTCCAACCAGTTGATTTAATGTGCACACTAATTTAATTTCCAAAAATACGGGACATCCACGTAGATCAGCATCAACAAAGACCAAAAAGAGATAAAAGGAAATTTTCTAAGAAACAAAATTGGTCTTAATGCGGAATTGAACCTGGGGTCTAGCTGCACAGCTGCATCCTGTTCTTGCCACTACGCCAGCGTGACTACGCACATTTCCGATCAATTATTTAACATCGGAAGCGCCACATGTATGTACGTTCCATTATTATACAAAAATATAGAGGCGAAAAAAAAAGAGCTCTAACCATGCAACATGCAACCTGAGATTATCAAAGAGGTAGTAATTGTAATGAATGGCCATCATTCTCAGCCATCGTACTACGAAGTCATTCGATTGCAAGTGAACAAACGAACACACGCACTGTCACTTCAATGATAAATGCATTTGTGCGCCGCTCGTACAATTTAATTCTGAATCTCCAGGGACTACTGTCAGTACTTTTCCAAGGCGATTATAAAAATATAAGACAAGAAAAATAACTTTTCCAGAAAATGCAAATCGATAGTGAGGGATTTGAACCCGAAACCTTTTAGTTTCCCCGTTACTGTAGTTCAACGGTGCAAAGCACTACACTACAACATTCTACGACGGTAACTTTTAAGTTGCTCAACGGAAACGATCGCAAAATTATCTTTGACAATGTCAACACATTATTCCCCATTACCATAAAAATAAAAACCCGAAAAAGAAGGTTTTCAAAACTCGCAGCTTAACTTTGGGGCCTTGAACTCTAGACCTGTGAAGCAGTTGGTAAACGAGAATTCCCGGTCTAGCCACTACGCTACGGGGTGCTCTACGTAAAAGCCCAGTTAACTTTGACACCGGAAACGCTATGTCGTGTATAAAATAAATGTCGTGTATAAAATAAATGTGTATAAAATAAAATCGAGCGTCAAGGGGCTAAGTTCAGTATTCAGGCACAAAAAATACCGAAAAATGTGGTTTGTAAGTACAAATTTCAAGCATTTCTATTGAAAAGCATGGAGTAGCTCCTTCTTGTGACTCTGCAAGTGAGCCGCTATACTACAAATGCTTCACTACAAGTGGACCCGAGATTTCGGTAAGTAATTTCCTTGATTATTTACTCGGCCACCACACTACGAAATCATCCAACAGAATACCACAGCATAAGACCCACTTGATTTTATGAAACCGCACGTTTGTAACAGTCACGGGATTTAAATTACGACTGCCAAGATCTTAGATAAGGCAAGAATAAAAATATAAAAACCAAAAAGTGAGTTCTATAAAATTGCAAACTAATTTTAGCCGGGTTTCGAACCTGAAACCTTCAAATTTGCCCATTGTTGTAGTTCAACAGTGTAGAGCACTATACTACATGATCGTACGGTGTTAGTTTTAAATTCTTTCATCGGAAAAGATCATAGAATTACGTTCATCATAGGCGACGCATTTGTGGGTGTCATTGTAAAAATGTGAAACCCAAAAAGAAGGTTTTGAAAATATGCGATTTAATTTTGGGGATTTGAACTCTAGACCTTGACACAGCTGATTAGCGTGGATTGTCGGTCTAACCACTACACCGCGGATTATTCTACACCGGGAGTAGTTTAAACGAGACACCGGAAGCACCATGCATTATAACAATATAGCCGTTCAAGATTGTAAGGTCCGATACACCCGCTCATCCATTGTAACGATAATATTCAAACCGGCAACACCAGAACATTGATATATTAGACTACAATAATATAATATCGAAAAAGAAGGTGTGGCAAAATGTGCATTAATTATGGGGGTTTGAACCCAAAGCCTTAAGTTAACCGGGTGGTTGCAGAGATTTGCCACTCAACCACTACACTACGAAATCTTTCAACGAAAACGACATAAGCAATACGCTAGGGATTGTAGATTTGTGTGTTGCTCGTGAATGACTCAAATAAAACTGGTGTCACAACACAGAATACAAAAAAAATACACGTTTGAAGGATATAAACCCGAAAAAGAAGGTTTATGAGAATGCTTTTATTATTATTGTAGGTTAGAACCCCGGACCTAGCAGAGAGTCGCCTAGTATTGTTCTCCTGTCTAGTCCACTACGCCACACAAGGCATCGACAAAAACTATTGTCATGCAATATCGTACAGTTAACACCGCTAGAGTTTCACTTTTGTAGCGATCGTTCTCAAAGTAGAATAAGCCATACTTCACATTATTTAATCCAGTGTCCTAAAATATGAAAGCATAAAATAATAAAACCAAAAAGGAAAGTGTATTTACAAAATCGCGTTTTTATATGGATTAGAACCTCCGACCAGCACGAAGCGAGTAACGGGAGTCACTACTACACCAGCGGGGTCGTTCTACGCAATATTAAGATAAACGGTAGCGCCAAAGCGTGCTGTTGTGGACGTCGAGCAATGCATAATCTGTGTGTAGGTTGCCCGCTACAGAATGTAAAATGTGCGAACCAACAGCGGAATCGGCAACTACGTAAACATTATTATATTCGCACACCACACAATAATCAAACATTCGAACGAACGGAAAAAGAAAACGCAAGAACCATGTTGTTATCCGCACGGAAAACAGCACAGCAAAACTCCCAAACAAAACTAAAATCATCATAACCCTACAACGAACCAGGAGATAAAATTGTGAACGAGACTCGGAAAATGTGAGATCGCAAAAGGACTATGCTGCCGAGCCGCAACTGAGCCGCAAAACTAACATCAAGCTATCAGAACAAGTGCGTTCTACAAACCCAAAGAAAGACATCCGACTAAATACTATACATTGGAGCAACGCAAGGAAGGCTCCATTCGAGGGCTCCATTGAGTCGATCCAACACTACGGATTTTTCAACGGAAGCTTGGAAACAGCCTCCTTCACGGCAATCCTCTTCCTCTCGAAGCGGTGCTGGGCTTCAGTGCGTTGAGCCATTTTCTGCGCGACAGATGCTGTCCATTCCGAAACACGGGTTTCCAGCGCCTGTTTGGCCGCTTCCTTTCGTTCACGTGCAGGAGGAGTCATAGTGAACGAAGCTGTCACAGCGATAACAATAACACGGGACAAGAACTTGTCCCAGAGTAATAAGTGCAAAGATAAGGGAACAAGTGCTGGGATATATTCAGTATGAGAAAAGGTGTAGTGCAGTGACAACTACCGTACGCGAATCTACGGCAGAGTGCGTATATAGCAGAAAGTGCAACAACACTTTCCGACCCTGTCAGCGTGTTCAGTAGAGTGAGTATATTAAGATAATATACACGCATGAAATTAGGTTTATAAAGTTGCACTCACGATATCATTTTGATTTTTAATTCCTTTTTGTTTTGAAACTTATAAAGTTACTACGGAATAGGCGAAATCATTTGACCACTACAAGATACAAAAAGACAAGCCATAACAATGCAGCTTGATCACAACGATAAAGAAAGAGCATCACGCATTTAAACATTAAAAGTGCAGCGTCACTACCAGAGGTTGCCCATCTCCATTTTAATACGGGAATGGATCCCATTTTTTCCCCATTTTCCATTTTTCCATACTAAAATGGTATGGATGGGAAAATTGCATTTATGGATGGAGATGGATGGGGAAAACAAAGAAATGGGGCGGAAATGGGAAATTTAGAAAATATGATAAAAATAACGAATTAATAGATTTTTACAACAATTTTCGTTGTCCAAATTCGCAAAAACTATCGACAGCTTCGCGCTTCGCGCGAAATTGTAATCCCTTGAATTAATTTTTAAATGGTATGACCGAAAAACGTTCGGCAAAAACAGCGCTGAATTTACGCTTCGCCTGAATAGCTGATTGTGAACAAGGTGTTCCGCAACTCGGTTTTTGCTTGTACGCTTTAATTTTATTTTTAAAAAATGGGCCGCTGAAATGGGGGCGGAAGAAAATGGGTCCGATCCAAAAATTATGGAGCGGGAATGGGTGGTAAAAACTGTAAGAAAATGGGGTATGGATGGGATATGGAAAAAGCAGAAATGGGCAACCTCTGGGACTCACTACCTTTATACACGTCAAAGATGCCACATCCGGAGATCAACTAAACACGCAGAGAAAGAACGGCAGGAATTTAAAGAGAAAAGGCCTGTACCATTTAAATCTTAAGCCGTTCAAAAAGTGCAGACAGGCGGCGATCCTCTTCACTTCCAGTAATTATAAGGAATTCCGCGCAAGGAGTGACGCTGCACAACGATGTGCTTACGCTTTTTCTTCTTCGGTGATTCTGGGATCGGAGGCTTCACGTTTACCCAGAGCATCTCTACTGGCAAAATCTTAGTAGGGTCCAGCATATGGGCCTTCTCATTCCACCAGTCAGCGAAATCTGGATCCGGGCCTTTCCAATCATCTAGGTTGCCAGATCCCCACAATTTCGGGACAGGTTCATCATCAATGGTCCACAAGATACGGCCACAAGAGCCTGGGCCGTTATTATTGCACTCGACACAACAGCGTTCCTCCTCCAGAATACGGTTGTTCTCTTCGATTCGACGCCTACGACGCGTACGGGGAGATTCTGGCTTAGGAGGCATCGGCGGAAGGCCCAAATCTTTACGGATGCGATCTGCTGCAGCGCGAACCACCAAAGTATCAGGTCCAGGCCAAATTCCACGACGGACGTAGTAAAACTCTGTCTGATCCGCACGGATCTCATCCTCCGCGTAATTAACCAACATTTCATACCTTTCAGGGTTTTCTACTATAATACACATAAAAGAGGGTTTCATCATTAAACAAGTATGAAATCCTCGGGAACCGAGAGATAGGGTGTATGTCAACACCAGGCACTTACAACGTAGTTTCTCCGCATACTCATCCGAAATAATGCGGCCGAAGCTACCTTTGAAGCTAAAGGTGCCTTTAAAAGAATCCATCTTTAAAACACAACGGCGTAGATATACGGATATAAGTTTAACCCAAGGAATGAAGATTTTAAACTTAGAGAACCAAGAAAAAGTCGAAAAGACAAGTCTGTGCAGGAAAACTGCTGACACACACTACGGACAAACCGGAAACAGCTGTGTAACCCCAAGCTGCCACTGCCCTAACATTTTAGCTACAGTCGGGCGGTTGGAACAACGACTGTCATTTTCTGCGTGCTATTGCATGAAATTTTGAGTTTCTTAGGAAATTCTGGAATGCTTTTCGTTTTCCGTAATATCTGTGATATTTTCATGAAGTTAGTTTCGATTATAAAGCTGAACTAGATATTTGTTTCATCTGTATAATTTATCATGGGGGAATGGAAACGCAGCCCTTATTTTCCTGCAGTATTACGGTAAGCGAGGCAAATACAGTATAGTTTATACACCGTAACACAATGCCAAAGGCTAATTGTAAAAACTAAAACAGAAGGTTCTGTACAGGAATTTAAAACTAAAGGAAACTATTTCGGCCAGTAAAATAACGATACTTAAAATAGGAAAAACATAGCGCAGAAAAATCATAGAACATAGGAGGCAACTTTGTACACTGTACAGATTTACAGAGGATTTTATACCGCAGCGCCCATATCGTCATCATCATCTCGGCCGGGATGATGGCGTTTAGCGATCAAGTCGTCCAATTTGCTCGGGCCACGTTTCTCTTGTCCCTTCGTCAGCCAACGAACTTGCTGCAGGTAATCCGAACGACGGTGGGCTGAGTGCCAGCGTTCTTCAGCCTCTAATTGCAACTCAAAGTCAATATTCGAGACGGGATCGTTGGCATGTTGATTGTAGACATCCACGAGTGTGACGACAGCACCGCGATCACCAAGTTCACCCGGGGCATAGTCCAACGCCGTAAGGAACTCGACAGGATTGCGCACAACATTGATGCCGTAATTCCGACGAAGTTCGCAGACAATCTGCCCAATGAGCCATCCTTGACGGAAATCCACCCGCAGGTAACGAAGTAAAGCATAATGTGCATCCTTTGACAGATCCAAGGTGTGGACGAAGCGGTTATACTTGTCCAGCGTCATTTGCGATCACGGGCGTAATCATATGGCGACGGCGGAACGCCACAATCAACCATACGAGTCGACCATTCAAATGTTGGTTCTGGCCATCCGACATGAGGATCAGGATACATTGGCGGCTGAACATCTGCCGAGACATCTGCCAAAACCTGCACCGAATCCTCCGAGGAACTGATGGTATCCTCATGCTGATAGGAAGGATGTAACGGGACTTTCGGGCGATGCATTTCAACAACGTATCCTAAATCGTAAGCCGTAAAGTCCGTATGATTAAGAGCAGACTCGCGCCAGACCAAGACAATAATTAAATAACACGGACTTTGCGGTAGTGATGATTAAACTCTTAATTTTGCTGGGAATTAAACATTATGATTAACTCAATTAAAATTATGGCAATTTTGATTATGCTGAGCATAATTAAAATTGCGCATTTTTAATTAAGCTTAAGCATAATTAAAATTCGTCAATTTTAATTATACTTAAGCTTAATTCTGAGTCAAATTATGAACAATATAAATAGCCTGATCAAAAGAAAACTGAATTTTGATTATGATAGGCAAAATTAAAATTGGACAATTTTAATTATGCTCCAGTTTAATTAAAATTGTTGAATTTTGATTATGCTGATCATAATTAAAATTGATCAATTTCTAATTATGATAAGCTTAATCAAAATTATAAGCAAAATAATTATGATGAGTTTAATATTCACTACTTTGCGGGTATAAACTTCGTTTTGCAGCTGCCTTCGAACGACCACAACGCAACTACTTTCCCAAAAGGAAGCAACGAACGCTACGTCACCGCAGACTATCCAATGGCGAGTGCGCGCGCTCAAACTGTACGTACACACAATTTTTGGGAATTTTCCAGGTAATTAATAGATTAAGGCATAAAATTTCAATCTTTAAAAATTTTTCAAGATAAAATAAATGTACAAGTTTACACGGCCGCTCAGCCATTTAATCCAAATTACATAAGGTACACATCTGACTAAATTTCGCTAAGTCGGACTTCATTTCCGGCCAGAAGAATCGGAGATTTTTATATAAGTAGTCATAGGGAGAAATAACACTACTGTACTTGTGCAACAGTCGACGGTGCACCGATTCAACTAAAATTTTTCTCCACTGAAAAGGAATGAATATTTTCGAGATTCGTTTAGGGATATCTTCCTTCTCACCATAATGGCAAATAATGCCCTTAATTTTTAGGACTAAAGGAAGATGCCGCGCCGCATATGGGGATTCTTCCAAGGTGCAGTCTCCATCAATTACAGCGTCCCACAACATGGTGTCGCTACACTCCATTTGCCGATACTTCCAGAATTCCTGCTTGTCCAAAACATCGTCAGTGATCACGCCCTGGGGCCAGAACTGCTCAACCGGACGCGCCCAAGCCGGGGCTGGAAGAATTCTGTCTTCTTCAATGACCGGGGGAGTTTTAGTTGACTGTGCCGGGCCGATCTCCATTGCCTTACAGGTAATTGGCGAAGTGTTACTGGCCAACGGTTCAACCGATTCAGATTGGCCTCCGCTCGGCTGGGATACATTCGGTGTGACCGGAAACCGATCATTCATAATTATCCGCTTCTTATTATCTACCGATGGATCTCGTTTGCGCTTTTTATCATTATTTTGATTGATAAATCTCTCCACAGGTTTCACCACACGCCCGGAGCGGGTTTTCAAAAGCGGTACCTCTTCCAGTTGTTTATCCAGATATTCCGCATACTCAGCATCAAGGCGCGACGATGCTGAATCGACAGACGGAATTACCGGTGGCGGAGCAGGCGCCTCAACTAATTCATCGGGGCATTCCTTCTCGACACAGTCAAGTAATTTAGGTAACTGTTCGTCTTGTAAAATAGTATCAACATCACGAAAGTTATAGGGCTTTAAACGACTAACGTGAACTGTATCAACTTTGACATTCCCACGCCGATTACTTTTTACTACGTAGTGGACTGGCCCTGACTGGCGAACAATTTCCCATCCGGCGGTCCAACGGGGCATCAAAGAGGGATTTTTGCCTACCTTTCTATGAAGTACATAAACCAAGACTTGATCTCCCGATTTATACGAAACATGCGATATATTAGCATCATAACGAATTTTGTCTTTCAGCTTATGCCGGAACTCCTCTGCGTTCACCAGGTCCAAAGCCTCACCAAGGCCACGCTGCATCTGCTGAACGAAAACATGAGCGGGAATAACGAAATCTTCTTCAAAAGGGAGGAAGTTATTCACTGGTAAGCGCATCTCAGTGCCGTGCATCATAAAGAATGGTGTGCGACCCGTGCGTTCCACAACCTTACTGTTAAAGGCAGCGCAAAGAGCCGGGAGGAAAATATCCCAGTCACTTTGCTGTTCATTAACGTACTTCGCCAACGCTTTTTTGATTTCTCCGACTCGTTTTTCGACCAAACCGTTACCCTGCTGGTGTCCTGACGCTGTAGGCGCATGAGCAACACCGGCGAGAGCAAGAAGCTCCCTAAACATTTCTGACATGAAATTACTGCCACGATCCGACGTAATATGAAGCGGCATACCAAAACTGTCAAAATCCTTTTATAGAAAAATAATGCCAATGTAGCAGCATCATTCCTTTCAACTGCTTCTGCGACTATGTATTTACTCCCGTAGTCGACGGCGATAATTATGTTTTTGTTTCCAGATTCCGTCGTTGGAAGAGCCGGGGCGACATCGATTGCCCACACCAATCTAGGAGGAACTGTCGGGTTGGACTGTAGAGCGCCAGCCGGTGCGGTGGCGGGGACATTCTGAGCAAGACACGCCGCGCAAGATGCACAGTAATTTCTGACTGACTCGAACATCCTAGGCCAATAAAAGTATTTGTACATTCTTTTGTAAGTAGCCAAAACTCCCAAATGCGCAGCTAAAGGTGAGTCATGATTATCCTGCAGGAACTGTAACCGCCAGTGTACGGGTACATACATGCAGTAGTAAATTTTGCGATTTAATTCAAACTTATAATAGACAACGCCTTGTTTTACAACAAACTTATTTAGGTGTAGCTGCTCATGCTCTGACATCTTTTCCTTTTTATTTTCTAGGAGCAACCTCCATCGGACAATCCGGGCATCTCGAGACTGTTCTTCCGCCCAGGAGGAGGCTTTATCGTCTGTAATCAACTTCTGCACCTTATCCGCATCGAAGGCTTTCATATCTTCCTCAGAAATAGCTTTCACTTCGGCCGACATCATTTCAAATCGTATATCCGCATAGTCTCTTTCTAGAACCGCAAAACAACATTCGATCATTGCTGCATCACCGGCAAAAGGGTAAGTCTGTCGATAATCAAATTCGATATCCGAATCATCTGAATCAGGTTCCGCTTGTTCTCCTGGGTTTCTGCTTAAAGCATCGGCTATTACATTGTCTTTTCCAGGGATGTGGACTGGTTTAGTATTAAACTGCTGGATATACAACGACCAGCGCCCCAGACGACCAGCAGCATCGCGCATATTATTCAGGAAAACCAGCGCCTGGTGATCAGTTTGGACTTCAAACTGATAGTCCGACAGGTAGTGTTTCCATTTCTTAAGAGCACAAATAACTGCATAAGCCTCCAGTTCTGTAGGAAAGTACAGCCTTTTCTGTGTCTCTGTTAATTTACGACTTAGGTATGCAATAGGTCTCCAATTCGTTGCCACATCCGTCGGTGTATCTCGAGGGCACTGCATAAGTACTGCGCCGACAGCGATAGTGCTGGCATCCACAACGACACGAGATAAAGCCTCTGGATCATAACGGGCCAAGACCGACGCCGTCACCAACGCTTCCTTCAATTGCTCGACGGCGCGACACTGATCTGTTCCCCATTCAAAGGTAACCTTTTTGGGAATAAGCTTTTGCAATGGTTCTGCAATTTCTTGAAAATTCTTAATAAATTGGCGGTAATAGCCAACCATGCCCAAGAAGCGCAAAATGTCCTTCTTATCTTTTA